ACTAAAATTGAAAATCTGATAAGAAATTTAATTTTAAAATCATTTATTTACATTATTTAAATATGCGAAAGAATGAGGAAAGACAAAGACTTAACCATAAAAATACAACACTTTATATAAATTGAATGATTCTCTAACCTTTTTTTTATATAAATCTTAACAATATAACTTTTTTCAAGATGTATTAAAACAAAATTTACTTCTTGACTTATTTTATATTTGTATTCAGTTACTGAAACTCTTGTGAAGAGCCAGTTCAGTTACTCTCTTGACATCAGTTCTCTATGTTATCCTAGCCAGTGCTGAGCCAGTTCAATTACTCTCTTGACATCAGTTCTCTATGTTATCTTAGCCAGGTCAGTTACTCTCTTGACATCACTTCTCTATGTTATCCTAGCCAGTGGTAAGCCAGTTCAGTTACTCTCCTGACATCAGTTCTCTATGTTATCTTAGCCAGGTCAGTTACTCTCTTGACATCACTTCTCTATGTTATCCTAGCCAGTGGTAAGCCAGTTCAGTTACTCTCCTGACATCAGTTCTCTATGTTATCTTAGCCAGGTCAGTTACTCTCCTGACATCAGTTCTCTATGTTATCCTAGCCAGTTACACATAAATAATAGCTTTAAATAGTTTTTAATGTAAATAAAATTTACAAGACTAGACTTGTTAGATGTTCGGTTTATTCTTTCTCAAAGGAAAAGATATTATTGATGAAAGATTATTGATAAATTAACATTAAAAATAGGTAGTCAGATATTGAAATGAAAAATAATTAATTTATGTTTTTTTTTACTTTTGTATATTACACAACAGTACACATGTCTATGGCCCAAAAAGTGTTGAAGACATTATGGCAAACAGTAGAGAAATACTTTCCAGCTGATTCAGGTGAGGTAAAATACCCACTACAGCTAAACAATAGTAATATCTTGGTGGTGTATTATGTGAAGACAGTGTGATTTATTGTTTTTAAACAGACTGAACCAAGTGAGTTGTAACATGTATTATGAAAAATAATAATATTTGTGATGATAGATTGGTTACATTTTAGCTGAGCAAAATGAGGCATAACAGAGTTTGGAATAAATCTCGGCAAATGACAGTTGATTAAATCTGGAAATTCAGAAAGGCTTCTTTACAAGAGAATAAATTGAATGTGAACAACAATGGGAAGACTTAAAAGAAGTATAAAATCAAAAAGCAATCTTTGTTGGACAAAAAAAAAACATGCTAGAGTATTTACTGTAATATTGATTAGCTTTTAAGGTATTGTTGTTAAAACTATGGCTGCTGATGGAAAAAAGAACGTGTCATTGTAAGGCAGAATTATGTCACTCTTTGAAGTAAAATAAAAGTCCTAGTGTGGTATCCTGTAATTCTAGATTACCTATATCGGTAATTGTTCTCATAATGCATATTCAAGAGGAAGTTATCTCCCAGTTCATACTAACTTGTACTAATGTCTGCACAACTCCTGTACGTAATTATGATACACAATCCAGGGATGATACATCACATGGCCAAATGACTATAAGCTCTACAGAATTGTCACTGTGTTGCGTAACTCTAGCCTGATGCAAGAAATAATGCACCCTTGCAGCTACTCACACTGTTCACAAGGGTGTTAACTAAATGCAGAAATCTGAAAATCTGCTCCTGAGTACACTCAAAGGAAACGCTCTATGGCCTCAGGTCTTTTGGACCTTTTAAAGGTGTTAACTAAATGCCGAAATCTGAAAATCTGCTCCTGAGTACACTCAATAGGAAATGCTCTATGGCCTCAGGTCTTTTGGACCTTTTAAAGGTGTTAACTAAATGCAGAAATCTGAAAATCTGTTCCTGAGTACACTCAAAGGAAACGCTCTATGGCCTCAGGTCTTTTGGACCTTTTAAAGGTGTTAACTAAATGCAGAAATCTGAAAATCTGCTCCTGAGTACACTCAAAGGAAATGCTCTATGGCCTCAGGTCTTTTGGACCTTTTAAAGGTGTCATTGTACAACGTTGCAACTTGTGGTGGTGGTGTTGCATCTCTTGAATGAGAATAGATGTTGAAGACATTTTTATTGCTGGTGGTTGTTTGGGAACAGTTAACAACAGCCATGGCACGACAAGAGAGACTGATGCAGAAGTGAGTGCTTTTGTTGATTGGGATTCTTTCCCAGCTTTATCAGTTTGGAATCACACTGTAGAACTAAGGTTAGCTGGTGTACCCCTTGGAGTCAGCACTATAAGCACAAAGTAATCAAAATCTGAAAAGCCTTCTCCTTTACTAACTAGACAAATTTATACTTAACTGTATCTTCAAGATTGGGATCCTCAACCTTGGCATCTTAAATCAAAACCCAAAGTCATATCAGCTTCTAATAGATCAGAAGTCAGTCTGCAATGTCACATAATCCAACCTTTTATCAGAAAAAGTCACTACTCTATCATAACTAAGTAACATAAGTTATCATTGGTTAACACACTAAATTGTTCTGAAAGTTTCTTTAGGCAGTTGCCTGCCAACATCCAGCACAAACAAAATTAGCCTAAGTGCTTGGAGAGCAAGGATTATAAATCTTATTGGTACACAGTTCCCCTTAACACTTCAAGTCAACACCAGTTCTAGGAATATGTCTGATGACTTCACCTGTCTAAGCTGTTAATATGTAGTAACAATGATACTCCACAGAAATACTGTGATTGAGCAATTATTGGAAGACATCACACTGATGTTTGTGTAATATTTCATAAAGTAAGGTAGCTACTCCCTGTCATTCAATGACTTGTTAGTTATCTGTAAGTGCTAACCAAACAGCAAATTCCTGCCGGGACAATTAAAAAGTTGACACCAGCATTTCAGCCAATCACTGGACAGTCAATCCACTCCTGTGCTGGAGTTTTCTCATCTGACACCTTACGGACTGTCATTTGTGTAACACCAGCTCCTTCATCCACATCTGCTTAGTCGAGCTTGAGTAAAACAGTGCTATTACCATCAGAGTTAATCTGTTTCTATGATTCCTGGAAGAACCATTTCTAAAGTGACATAGAAATTCAGCTTCTTGGCATTTTTCCCTATTGTGCAATGACTACACCTCTTTACTCACCCTTGAGCTGTTAACATATAAGATCTGAAGTAGTCCATCCAGATTGAAGCAGATTATGCAGTGCAGGAACGTACTATAACTATTCAAATTCGATGACGAGGAACCCACTTTGAGACTAATAATGGCTGGAGACGGCTTGAATGGGTAATGAAGAAAAACTTTAATATAAGTTTAACATAACAGTAAATGTACAACGTTTTGACAAGGTTTTGTCATCAGAACTGATGTCAAGAGAGTAACTGACCTGGCTAAGATAACATAGAGAACTGATGTCAGGAGAGTAACTGAACTGGCTCAGCATTGGCTAGGATAACATAGAGAACTGATGTCAAGAGAGTAACTGACCTGGCTAAGATAACATAGAGAACTGATGTCAGGAGAGTAATTGAACTTGCTTACCAACCAAACATTACATCACAATTCACAATCATAGAAAAACCTAAATTATCAAACCTATAAGAAATCTGAAGTATAACATTCATAAAAACCTTTAACCAAACATTACATCACAATTCACAATCATAGAAAAACCTAAAACAGGCAACCATGTTAAACATGTCAGATGACACTGACTGAACAGGCAACCATGTTAAACGTGTCAGGTGATGCTGACTGAACAGGCAACCATGTTAAATGTGTCAGATGACACTGACTGAACAGGCAACCATGTTAAACATGTCAGATGATGCTGACTGAACAGGCAACCATGTTAAATATGTCAGATGACACTGACTGAACAATTGACCATGTTATGTGACATAACAACAAATGTTTACCTTCTTGCTGAGTGTGACATTGCTAAAATAGGTACGAATGGTTAAGACACTCTGGGATTGAGACGTTAACTCGGGATCTCTGGCTTAAGAAGGGCCAGTGCTTTAATCCAGGATTACAAGGAATTTTCATCAATGTTCACATATAGTTTCCCACTATAAATATGATCTTTGAACTATATTATGATAAATACAAAATCAATGTTCACATATAGTTTCCCACTATAAATATGATCTTTGAACTATATTATGATAAATACAAAATCAATGTTCACATATAGTTTCCCACTATAAATATGATCTTTGAACTATATTATGATAAATACAAAAACCAAACCACAGACTTACAATTATTTATTAAATTTTGTAAGGAAACCATGAAATAGTAATTTTCTTGTGTTGTAATTATTAATATTAGGTATTTTTAAGTGAAAAACTCGTATATGAAGAGAGAGCCTGGGACTGAGATTTATGTTGTAAAAAAACCAACATTTGAGTTATTTTGATTGATAACAAAAAGTTGTTTGAAATAAGGTTATATATGTTATGAGTAGGTTGTGTGAAATTCACGATTAAACCAACATTTGAGTTATTTTGATTGATAACAAAAGTTGTTTGAAATAAGGTTATATATGTTATGAGTAGGTTGTGTGAAATTCACGATTAAACCAACATTTGATAATTTTGATTGATAGTAAAAGTTGTTTGAAATAAGGTTGTATATGTTATGAGTAGGTTGTGTGAAATTCACGATTAAAAATAATTCTTGTGTGTTGATAAATGGATAGAACAAGTTTCTGTAAAACACCTATGTCTATTTTATCTCTACACAGAAGGTGTGGAAGCTTAACGTTAAACAGTACTACATAATTTCAGATTAAATTAGTCTATTTTATCTCTACACAGAAGGTGTGGAAGCTTAACGTTAAACAGTACTACATAATTTCAGATTAAATTAGTCTATTTTATCTCTACACCGAAGGTGTGGAAGCTTAACGTTAAACAGTACTACATAATTTCAGATTAAATTAGTCTATTTTATCTCTACACAGAAGGTGTAGAAGCTTAACATGCTTAACGTTAAACAGTACTACATAATTTCAGATTAAATTAGATTTCCCAATCATGCTTTTCAGTTATTTGATATTGAGATTTATAATAAAAATTAATTCAAATTCTTATGATAGGTTATTGAATATAATGAAATCAAAGGTTTTTATGAATGTTATACTTCAGATTTCTTATAGGTTTGATAATTTAGGTTTTTCTATGATTGTTAATTGTGATGTAATGTTTGGTTAAAGGTTTTTATGAATGTTATACTTCAGATTTCTTATAGCTGTGATAAGCAACCATGTTAAACAGTGTCAGATGACACTGACTGTCAGATGACACTGACTGAACAGCAATATTAAGGGCTGTCTCTAACATTCATATTCTAGTATTAATATTAAGGGCTGTCTCTAACATTCATATTCAAATATAATTGTGTGAAGAAAAATTTTGTTCTGTAACAACAAAACTTGTCAGAGCCATGTTTTTGTTTTTTAAATTGGATAAGTTGTGAGGGCAGCAAAAGTTGCTTTACTGAAGCAAATATTATTATTATAGAATTTTCTATTTCATAAAAACATGTTTTACTAGAGGCTTTCACAAACTATGATATTTTAATGAATATCCTTACTTTAATAATGAAGCTATTTTGATCTTTAATGATCATTAGAACTATGATGCTTCTTGGCTCTGAAACATTATTACATTGGTCAGTTATCTTACGTATTGTTGATTCTACCATTTCCCTTGGCCAATCAGCATTCTTTGAGGCAGGTGTGGCCTAGTGCTAGACTGAATCCAAGGTTTCACATCCTAATGTACAAGATCATGCTTTGCCTTTTGAGGCTGTGGATGCATTATTTGAGAAACTGATAAAACTCATAATTTGATTTGAGTAGCCCAAGTTTTGGAGGTGAATGCTATTTTCTTCTCTTTAGTCCGTTACTATACCTAATTAGGTATAGCTAGAAACATAGCTTTATGTATGAAGTTTGTGTTGATTGTCACATTAGGTGAGATGTGTAAAGTATATTAAGCACGAAGAATCAGATTTTCTTGTTGTTATGGGCATTTATATAATGTGTAATTGTTTGAAATATAAAATGTAGTTTATAATATGGTTTTTAGTGCTATCAGAGATAAAGAGTAAGTCTGAATTGAAGCCTTTTCTCAGTTCCGTTGACAAGACAGTAACCCATGGATATTACTCCATAATACAGGTAAGAGTAATTATTTATTGTAATTTGAAGTTCTTTTTGTAAACATTAATCATGCTGTTAATGACAATAACAAAGCTTGGTTTGTTTGAAAACTTTAAAATTACTTTAAATTGCTATTTTTAAATCAGTAACCTTGAAATCTTTACATTGTGTTACAAGAACTTCAGGAAATTCTGTGAAAATATTATCGTCTAGAAAAAACATTTATTTGATGTGGAAACCAAATATTTCCCTAATGAAGACTTTTGAATTTCTTGTAAACGATATACTTAATGTTTATTGAAGGCTTACCAAATTTGGAATTACAGTAAACATTAATTCTCTAATACTGGCTCAGTTCAATGGACAAGCCCCGTTAGATTGGGCAAGTATGTAGAGAGAAATTTGGTTGTTGAAATGTGATTTCATTTGTACTGGGCAATAAGACAACGGTTAATGTCAACCCCTGGTTTAGTTTAGCTGTTTTTAGCCACTGCTGAGTGGCTCATAGAATGAGTTTCTTTTTTTTTTTCTCACATACAAACTTTTAGCTCATAGCTCTGTCAAATCTTGACCGAGTTGAGATCTAATTACAGTTTTGGACTCAGGAGGTCAACCCTTTTGATTGATGTATTTGACCATGTCCAAGGTATCATAGATCAACTTATTCTAATCCTGCCTAAAAGAATTTTAATTTGAGGGTTGGCTGGTATAGATCCTGATGAGTAATAAAATTGAATCGGGTATACTCGCTCCCCATGCTTAGTATTGTTGGTCCACAAAAATATAGCTAATGAAAAGGGAAACAAAGGTCTCATTCATTAATTTACTCTAATCCTGCCTAAAAGAATTTCAAGTGCTACAGCTACTGAGGTTTTCCTGTCTGATATTTTAAGGTAAAAAAAAGGACTTTTGTTTAAGTAATCTTGTATACATTTAGTGGTAACAAAAATAAACCATTGAAATGTATTTTAAACAGATACTCTATTAATAGTATGGTAATCTCTCATTCCAGGATCCTATTGACCTCTCACTAATCGAAAAGAAAGTTAATTGCAAAGAATATTCCAACAAGGAAGAATTCCTTGAGGATATCCAGAAGACAATAGATAACTTTGAACTTTTCAGTGGAACTGGAAGTGGTAAAAAAACTATTGTTCTCTTCAATATACCTTCCACTATTAAATGAAATCAACCACATAGCACTTAACCTCTGAACAACCTCTATGTTAAACATGTTAGGTGACACTGACTGAACAAGCAACCATGTTAAATATGTCAGACAACACTGGCTGAACAATTGACCATGTTAAACATGTCAGATGACACTGACTGAACAGGCAACCATGTTAAACATAATACTAGAATATGAATGTTAGAG